ATGACTTGATCTTCAAAAACGAAGTTGGAAAAACGAACATGAAATTTATCACATACAGGAACACTAGCTTGCTGGTTTGCCAGTTCTTGTTAATGATAGTAACGTTAATTCAAACACAGTAATGAATAAATAAATAAAGTTGGAATAAAATGAATAATGCGTTATTAATTCTTATCTATAAATCCGATCTGTAAATCACTTAAAGTTGATAATAATTACAATCCACTCATATAATTTGATTTACACCACTACAATATCTGTCGTATCCCAGCCGGCCTGATAAGCCTTGATATTGGCGAAAGGCCTCCTAGTATTGGATATAGCAAATGTAGTGTGGATGACATATTTTAACATAATCTCTTTTGCTTTCATTCATGGGTTCTTAGAATTCAGCCCAGTTTTCTAAATCGAAATAAAATATAATGAAACATTAAGGATAGTAGTCAAGAAAGAAGACACTGATGTAACTACGCTTTCTCATTTAATTCTTGATAACACTCACGCAGATTTTACACTTTCATAATTACCTCTTGGTTCAATAAACACTAGCCCTGAGAAGTTGGTGCAGTTTCCGTTCTAATGGTTCAACAAACACTAACCCTGAGAAGTTGGTGCAGTTTCCGTTCTAATGGTTCAACAAACACTAACCCTGAGAAGTTATATTTCGAATAGCTTCAATAGGTCTCCAACATTCAACACAATAGCAATTTAATGAAGTTCTTCAAAGTTCAAAGCTTTCAGCAGCAGTGCCTTTTCATTAGGGATGGTCAGATATATTAAAATTATATCAGTAAATCACACATTTACCATGTAAAACACTTTGAGATAAGACAGTTTATTTCTAAAAACCTTGTGTAATTTGTAAAGATAAAAATCTGAAACAAACTCGTTTTAAATAAAGTTACTCGTTAGACAGCTTCTCAAGGAAATGTTTAGCACATTTTCTTGAAAAGTTAAATTTTTCACGACATCGGTTGAGAACTCCGGTATTTGTTTTGTCCACACTCAACAACGACATGAAATTTGCTTTGATGCTATCTCCTAACCCTTTTCTCTCTCTACCACTGGCTAAGCAATCCGCGATGTTTCTCAGCAGACTCGGCCTGTTAATATACAATTACTTAGGGTTCAAGGGAATTCCAGGCCACCTAATCGACACTTTTTTCTTTGTTCTTCGACTAACGAGTTATCCTTCATAATTAATCCAACATATTAATCCAAATAACCAATCCTTCATTGGAAAAATGCTAAACAGTGATTTTAACATTAAACTGTTTTCATCTGTTTTTACTCCACCGAATAAAATGAATTATCACACCCTGTCCCAACAAGAAACACTACTACTCCTTGATTCAAAGAACATCATCATTACATCCTGTCCCAACAAGAAACACCACTACTCCTTTATTCAAAGAACATCATCATTACACCCTGTCCCAACAAGAAACCCACTACTCCGTATTCAAAGAACATCATCATTACACCCTGTCCCAACAAGAAACACCACTACTCCTTTATTCAAAGAATATCATCATTACACCCTGTCCCAACAAGAAACACCACTACTCCTTGATTCAAAGAACATCCTCATTACACCCTGTCCCAACAAGAAACCCCACTACTCCTTTATTCAAAGAACATCATCATTACACCCTGTCCCAACAAGAAACACCACTACTCCTTGATTCGTAAAGTATGTAATCACATCTTGTCTCACTAAAATGTGCCACCTCTCCTTGTTTCAATCACAAACACTAGCACTCAGTAACTCAACAATTAATGTTATTATATTATCATGTCCTTTCCCAACAAGAAACACCACCAATTTCCGTGACTTTACTTCTATCCGCATAAGAAAGATAAATCTTGTGACAACTTCAGTGGCTGTACTTCTTCAATCTTCTGCTAAATATACGCAAATGATAAATCTATTATCATCTGTCTTATATCTATAAGGTAATAAACGTGTAACAGGTAAACCGTGTAATAACCTGAACGCCCGTAAATCTATAATTTCCGTTGCTATAATCTTTCCGATTACGCTTTTATATTTTCTTGCTACTATGCGGAAAGACAAGTTGACTCGTTGTGCAGATTAATGTCAAATTATCAATACGTGGCTATTTTTAATTAATTTGTACCAGTTTTGACGATAGCTACCGTACCTAGCTTTAGCAATTCCGTGTAAGAACTTTCAAAACGTTTTGGTATGATACGAAACCTTAGTCACAGACTGGTTAATTTGATTAAAATATTGAATAAATAGAACAGGCCAATTTGTGGACATTTGCTGAGGTAGTTAAGTGTTCAGCAACTGTCCAATTAATGTTCCGAGAGTTATAAGTTGGACACAGCTTCGTGTGATAAGTAACGTTTCAACCACTACTATGTGTGTCGTAACTCATCTGACCTGAATAGCCTTGGTATTATGCGAAAAGCCTCGTCGGCACTGGATATAACAAATATAATGCGGTTGGCATATCATTATATACCATTCTTTATTCTCACTCAGAAGTTCTTATTAATAATTACATTCCAAAACACACTTGAGTAGGCCTAATATCGAAGTTTCACAATATTGATCGTTCATAATACCCGAAAGAATTACAACCCTCTTTTAGTTTTAGAGAAAATAAATTCTATCAAAGTCTGAAAAATACGAAAGTTTGACCTGAAATGTTTTGTCTTGTTAATCTCAGAGGCGTCGCTGGGTGATTAAAAGATTCGGGGCTCGGGCCCATTTTCGGCGTTTCAATATGATATCGATCATGGTTTTTAATTCTGATTTTTCAAGACACCAACTGGAAATGCGGTTCACTGTCAAACAGAATCTGGGGACGGGCCCCGGTGTGCCAGTCAGCACATAACGACGCCTCTAATTGAAGTATAAAACTAAAACCCTAGCTAGAATGGCCTGCCTACACAACCTAAAAAGTAATAATTTTATGAATTCACAATTATTACAACATATGAAGTTATTTACATAAATTACTTACTTGAACAGCATAGTAAGGAAATTTAATTTCTATACATCTTTGTTTCTGAAAATTCATTATTAATATTACTGAATATAATTTTTACCTTTCTGTTAAGGCATCCATCGCAAAGCTTATCGTTTAGAATATCTTGATATTTATAAATATATTTTAAGGACAAACAAAAGATACGAATGGTTAAAGGTTACTTAATCACCGGTTCTTAGATTGTTAGGAGTATCTTTTATTTTTATGTGATCACTGTCACAAACTACAGAAAGGCAAAAAAGAATCACTTCAGGATATTATTGACACCATTAAAATCCTAATTATTTCCCCTGTATTTATATAGATCAAGACACTTATATGATTTCGTCTCCTTAACATCCATTACGAATAATCATCACTTCCATCTTATCACATCACAGGGACAAGGGGGGGGGGCGTAACACTCTGCTGGACCACCAGTATTTTAGCTGGAATGTTTAAAAAACTTGTATATGATTGGAAAAGTCATGGAGAAAATTTGTATATAGCAGTAAACCAGCCCTAGCGCACGTGCCAAGGGCCCCAAAAATAAACAATAAATAAACAAAAGATATGTAAGCTTAACCTGGCTTTCAAGGGTTATCGGATAGAAATCATCACTTGTGAAATCGGTCATATTTTCGCCCGCTCTCCTCACCAGAGGACAATTTCTATCCTCAATCTCTTATTGGACGAAATTATAAACACTAAGTTTCGTCAGGTTAGTAACATCACGAATTCTTCATAGTTTAGCACGACCTCTAAGCACAGAGATGCATGGCAGTTTTTGCTGAGTTGAAAGAAAAAGTTTTCAACGGGTTTCACTTGAGTGAGATTTCCAAGAGGACCAACAAGATAATAATGACCTATATTACGCAATAATGCAAGCAATACATGGATATAAATGTACTAGTGATAAAATAAAACAAAAATGTAAACTTAAGACTTTAATTTTACGACTTGCATTCTGTTACGCCAAAGGGACAAGCGTGCAGTCTCACTTAAATTAAACTGTTTTTATTCGAATGAAATCTAATAGGTTTAGAGAGAAGACAGAAGTTATTATTGTTATAATATTTATGAATACAAACTTTTAGCGTCGTCGGTTCAAGATACGATTTTATTAAGATTTGTTTGCCCCTTAATGTGCCTTTTTTACAAACTAAACTATTATTCAGTTGAACGGTGGCTGATGTCTTCTCACTTCCATTATCCTAAAATAAAAAATCAGTACCGGTTTCAGGAAGCGCGAGATTCCAAACTGCAAAGTAACCAGATCGCACAGTCCAGTAACAGGTTACGCGCTACTGAGGATGTTTTTTAAATAAGACTCAAACTACATGCTTAAATGTTATTTTAGGGGATTAAACATACCACACACTTTTTAAAATTCTTATGAAATACAGAAATAATGGATACACTTTTCTTTCAAATGCTATTTTCAACTCATCACTGCAAGAAGGTCCAAACAGTGCGACGGCTGGCACTGTTCGGAAGCCAAAAAAAAAAGCATTATTACTAGTAGTTACTTCACTCCAAGAGGATATTGCACTCTGTAAGATTTTCTCATGTTTGCCAATAATTTCTCATGAAAGAGCTATGAACATTAGTTATTAATTGTTGATTTCAAGTTTAAATAAACAGACAGCCTAAAAGTTAAGCTAAAAGTTTTCGAAGATTTTGATCATTTGATAAAGAGAAATAACATTAGAATCAGTAACATTGTACGAAAACAAACCATAAGTCTTAAACTATCTGAGCAATTGCAGATTGACGAAAGGTTTAACTCAACAAATGTATATTTTATGCGTATAGGTTAAACTAGGTTAATCAACCCTTGACCATAAACTGCAGAATGTATTAGTTTTATTCAATATTGGTTTTAGTAATTAGATAAAGAAGTCTTAATATGGGGAGATGTTACTATTTTATACTAATAAATTATACCGCATGTGCTGCCCTCCGGTGGCTGACATTATACATTACACCTGACAACCTTTCAAAATGGCAGCCTACACAGAAAACTGGTGTGCGGTCCCAAATGATTGAAATGACTGTGTAGAGAAGCAAGGGTTATATTTCTTTTTCAATGTCCAAAATATCTAGAAATGTAAGTAGCTCTTACTCTTTGACTCTATAGAATTCTACTCTGTGTACTATTTCTCTCGTTCTTCTGCATATCAATCAGGCTTGATCTAGCCCTAACTTAACATAACCGTGATATCATAAACTTATTAATTAAAAGCCAGATTCTTGTTTTTAACGTAAAAAATGAATCAAATATTCGAGCGAGATTTGAAAATATTTGGAATAAATGATCTTAAGAACTGCAGACAAACTACTGAATGTGTCAAGCGTACTTTGAGAACAAAATGTTGATGGACTCGGCTAAAATTAATTAATTCCTAACACTCTAACAACGTTGTTTATATCCCAAACCCATCATCTATCATACCAATACAGCAAGTATGGTAGAAAATGGAAAAAAAAAGATAATCATTGTATTGGTTTTGATGATCAGTGGTATTATTACAGTAAAATTTAAACCGACTGATTTTTCTTCTATATACTACGTTACAGGGATTTGTGGAGGAAGCTATAGCAGTAGTATCAGAGGCTGGGCGGAGGAGGTTTCGAAAGTCCTAGCGTGTGATTAAGGGTCTGCCATTGTTCTTTAATTCAGTCAATTGGTGTAATTATTATGAAACCTTACACCGAAATAAATATATATAGAACATACTTTATGCGTCATCATCCTCATCTTATTAAAATTACAAAAAATAATAATGATTTCTTGCTTTGCAAAAAAACTATAACAAAATGGAAGCTAAAATAATTAAAGCTTTTTTGTGACCATTCGTGTGTGACCCAAACTGTATTTAAGACACATACGGCTTACATACTTCTCAAAATAAGAGTACAAAAACCTTGAACTTCTCAGAGTTAGCTGATATGGCGTATGCACCTCTGGGTGCAATGGCTACAGGCTGTAGCATAATTTATCGAAACGTTTGATGGTTTGTTCGAATGGCTTAATTCTAGTAAAATAAAAACTGGACTAAAACGTAACAGATCTGTTATTTCTTGTTGCCCAAAACACGGTTGCACTTTGCTGGAGTCTTGAATTGTATAAAAAATGTACAGCCTATAGGAGCAAAATCATACTCGCACTTCGGTAAAATCTATTGCTGAGTATTTAGGAAGATCTCTTAAAAAGTGATATTCAGTATTTGTTGACAAATAAACTTAAAATGATTGTCTTGAAAATTTATTTTCAGTAATAAGATTATTACGTTGTTTGTAGAGATGATGTAAGTGTGCAAACATCTGGACAAGCAGTGCAGGTTGAATGCGACACTGCCACCTGCAAGAAATTCCAGCTGTTGTTACCGATGAAAACAGAATATTAGTAAATGTGTGTCAACCTTCTGAATTGTCACAAAAACCAAAGTGTGCTAGCAGTAGTTGTTATAGCAATTTAAGCATAAATTTGATAGTAGATAACAGGAATGTTATAGTGAGAAATATAGCAATGTTGTCGTAAGTCTATCTGAAAGAAATATATTAAATTACATAAGGGGTTCGTTGTTTGAGAGGTATGGAAAAAAAATTCATGTACATTTTACAAACATTTTCGATTATATTCTAAAACAAAACAACAAACAGTGTGTTATGTCAGATAAACATTTATGCTCTTTTAAAAATATCTTATTAATCCAAAATTTAATATATATATATATATATATACTTATTGATAAAAAGTATGAAAATGATCACTATTGTTGAAACCATGGAAATATTTAGAGGTTGTTGCCGATTTGTATGTAATGAAGAAAATATTATTAAATGATGGGTGTAATGGATGTGGTCCTCACAGTGAATTGTGTAATGGATGTGGTTCTCTCTCGATGGATTATGTGTAATGTATATGGTCCTCACGGTGAATTGTGTAATGGATGTGGTTCTCTCTCGATGGATTATGTGTAATGTATATGGTCCTCACGGTGAATTGTGTAATGGATGTGGTTCTCTCTCGATGGATTATGTGTAATGTATATGGTCCTCACGATGAATTGTGTAATGGATGTGGTTTTCTCTCGATGGATTATGTTCGTGTGCGTATATTAATAATTTTCTACAACTACAAGCTGTTTGTACAACGCTTAAGATAACTGTCCTATTCATATACTACAGGATATCCATGTACACAACTTGTTAACGCCCATCAGTACTGACAGACACCGAGTTTCTCTGCTGTACTGTTTTTTGTATCCTTCTGCATTTTCATCTCAATAACAAACTCTTCAAAATAAAAGTTTGCTGAAAAGTCTTGGTATTTGTATTATTTTCTGCGTTGTTCACAAGGTTTTGGTACTGGTAGTAATGTTAAACTTCTGTCGAGACTAGCAGTGGCCTTGCCTTATTCCCCCTGGGCACGGGAACATGTGTGATACGAGACCCTCCCCCGAACCCAAGGCGAACAGAAGGGAAAAGAGGCCTCTTGTTGCCTTGTCTCCTAGCGAAACAGTCATTAATAAATCTTTTGAGTCGCTTTATAATTCTTGAAACAGGGGTCATTCACTAATTTCTCCATTAGCCTAATCAATAAGCATTAGGGACGTCTCTCATTGTTTAGCAGTCGTTGGTGCTATAAATCATCTATAAACTCTGTCATCTGTGTTAAAAAGTCATATTTCAGAAAACAAAATAACATCAGAGTAAGGAATTCTTGTTTTTATTTAATGAACTGAAATTTCGTATTATGTTTTCCTCAACCACAATATTTTAATATCAGAACAACGTTTAATTTTATCTCTGAACTTAATAAACTTAACGAACTAGGAAAATGAAGGAAGACTGCGAATCAATGATTACTTCTTATTTAATTTTTTTATTAAACATACCTACAACAGTCCAATATATCTTGAGAAGCAGAGCATAACCATATTTTTTATGACTTTTTTGTGTCTTACAGAGATTATAGCATTTACTACTTATTACCGCGAAAAGCATGTGTGACATTCAGCTACAATGAATACGAAACTCAGAAGAAACTGTCAATTCGGATAGCTCCACCACGTCTAGAAAAGTGCGATAAATACCTACTAAATGATACATACACACTCATGAAGAAAAGTAACATAGAACTAATATTATGATGCCTAAAATGACGAAACTTTGTTCATTAGTTGTAACATTTGTAAAAAGAGTTATGAGTTCTGGTATGCAGAGAAAAAAAATCTTTGAATAACAATAAATACAATGAAGTTGAAATGTTTACTAATTCGAAACTCATTGGGCCAGTAATATGGGATGTGGTTAGAAGTTTTGTTAATTATTTTTTGTTATAGCGCTAGGCTACACAATAGGCTCTCTGCGATCTCTCCACCGCGGGGAATCGAACCCCGGATTTTAACGGTTTAAATCTGGAAACTTATCGCTGACCCACCTGAAGACGTGATTAAAAATATAACCAGTCTTATCGTGGTGTAATATTACATGTATTAACAGTTCGACTGAGCTTTATCGGTATTTGGTCGTTGTGCGCGACCTGGGAGGGTCAGGTTCACTTTGGACCTATTAACCGTTAACAGATTACGTATCGCTACTTTAAACTTCGTGTATTATAAAATGTGGTGTCTCAAAACAACAAAAAGAACTAATGTAAATAACGTTTCACTGAAAATATATGGCTTTAACCCAGCCAGCCTTATACCTTATACAACAGAGGGTTAAAGTTGAAATGTCATCATACACTGTTTTTGCAGGAAAACTGTGAATAAATATATTATTAAAATTGTTACCAGATTAATTTGATGTAATATTGCAGGTTTTATCAACTAGCAGATTTCTCTCATTCGAATAAAAAAATTTTCAGTCTCGACAATTCTTCAAAAATAATCAAATTCCGCCAGGATTATAGAGTTTACTAGGATGTTGTGACTGTTAGTCCTACAGAACTATAGTAATGCCAGCATCAAGAGACGTTGTACAAAGCATTGTAAACAACTGGCCTTCGTTTTTATTTCAATCTTCTTATAAATGTTCGCAGCAGCCTTAAATATAGATTGTTCTGTGATTTGTCTGCTTGCAAATAATGTCACAAGTTTTTCATTAAATATTTATAATTCAAACTGAAATAGAAACCCTACGCGTTAATTTAACAAAGTTTATCTGGATTTCGGTAAAAGTTCATTACGTTTACAGTTCTTCTTCACCATGACATTTTATATGGAGTTAATATAACAGTTAGTAGTTAGATGGCGTGGGTACGGCTTGTCTGGCTTTAACGGAACTTGTGTAGTTAATATAACAGGAGGTAGTTAGATGGTGCGACAATGGTTTACTAAACCCCATAGAGTTGTTGTTTGGTTTTAAATGAAATCTTAACCTCTAACGTCTTGTACGCATTCTCTTGGTTTAATCATGTTCGACCTAGCTTGTAGTTCGTATTAATAACTGAAGGGAAAATGCACGTGTATTTAATATGCAGTGAGTCTAGTTCTGTATGTTCAAAGGCCATAATCAAATATGCTGGTATTTCATAAAGGTTTATAAAAAAAACAACAATTTTTGATTAGTTTAGATTACATACATATATATATGTGTGTGTGTGGACGTGCGCGAAGCTCTCCTCTGTTATTTCTTTGTTCTTCATAGTAATTGGTGGAACTGTGATAGTACCATGTCATGATTTAGTGAAGTGTACCGATTTTAAGTAAAACAAGTAACTCACTAACTTGTTTGAGCATATCTTATATCGTTAAGAAATGCGCCCTCTCGCAATCACGCCGTCGACCACTTTCTCGGGTCGGTAACACTCTGCACCTGTTGCAAGTGTTCACATACATCTATGTACCAGTTTCCAGTTCTTGCATGTGGTTCAGCAGAAACAAGTGTGCCCCATATTAAGTAATACACCTGCATCTATACAGGCTGGTAAAGTTGGCAAGCTTGGAAGGCACATTTTCACTTGCGCAGTGCTAATTAATATGTATTTATTCAAATATTATCAGAGAGAAAACAAATATTTGGACCTATAACCACAAGTTATATAACAGTAATAATGTGTTATTTAACAGTTTACTGAAATCCATATCGTTACAGCACAGTTACATCGTATCAAAATACATGAACAAGTTAGAGATAAAACAAAGCTGCAAAAGTTTACCTTCCCTCATCTCAGCCCCCTCCCCTTCGGTGGTTCAGCGGTAAATGGGCTTATAACTCTGAATATCGGCTTTTGATACCACTGATGGATACTGGACACAGCAAATATAACCTCTAGTGTAAATTTGTACTTTATTCTAAACAAAAAAAAAATTGTTACACAGGCATTATATCCAAGATACCTAACTACATGCATATCAATGGCTTATTCGATTGTAATAAAATAATGAAAACATAGAATATCCAAGACACTGCTAATGCACAGACCCTTTTTTTAAATCCATACTGGGTTTGTTAAGAACCCTGCGTTTAAAATAGCAGCCGCCTGGTGTGATAAGGGAATTTTACGGAAAGTGCTGAACTCGAATAAGTCTGAGGGCGATGTTCAAGTGCATCTTTATAAGGCTGTATTGTTCTTTTGAGATACCTTAAAAGTCCTACTGTATTGTTCTTTTGAGATACCTTAAACGTCCTACTGTATTGTTCATTTGAGATACCTTAAAAGTCCTACTGTATTGTTCATTTGAGATACCTTAAACGTCCTACTGTATTGTTCATTTGAGATACCTTAAAAGTCCTACTATATTGTTCATTTGAGATACCTTAAACGTCCTACTGTATTGTTCATTTGAGATACCTTAAAAGTCCTACTGTATTGTTCATTTGAGATACCTTAAACGTCCTACTGTATTGTTCTTTTGAGATACCTTAAACGTCCTACTGTATTGTTCTTTTGAGATACCTTAAACGTCCTACTGTATTGTTCTTTTAAGATACCTTAAACGTCCTACTGTATTGTTCTTTTGAGATACCTTAAACGTCCTACTGTATTGTTCTTTTAAGATACCTTAAACGTCCTACTGTATTGTTCTTTTGAGATACCTTAAAAGTCCTACTGTATTGTTCTTTTCAGATACCTTAAACGTCCTACTGTACTGTTCTTTTAAGATACCTTAAACGTCCTACTGTATTGTTCATTTGAGATACCTTAAACGTCCTACTGTATTGTTATTTTAAGATACCTTAAACGTCTTACTGTATTGTTATTTTAAGATACCTTAAACGCCCTACTGTATTGTTCATTTGAGATACCTTAAACGTCCTACTGTATTGTTCATTTGAGATACCTTAAACGTCCTACTGTATTGTTCTTTTAAGATACCTTAAACATCCTACTCTCAAGCGCCTCTAATAAAGAAAGTTTCTCGCAACTATAAATTAACCACTCTTTGTCACTGAAATTAATAATACAAGGGTACATCTTTATCCTTCTGATTTATGTATGAACTGAATGAACATTTTCCAAATTATTCAGCTAAATATGATGTGGGCGATATATACTTACTCATAAACACAAATGGTGTATAACTCGAGCTTAACTAGAAATAAACTAAAACAATTACACGATCCTTTAGAGTTAACTCTAGTGTGAGTTAATTGAGGGTAACGTGTTTACAACTAAAGATCGAGTTATATGACAGCTAGATTTGTATATTACTTGGATCCGGGCTGGTAAATCTTGAGGAAATCAGTGACACACTTAGAAGTAGGCTTAATAAAATACGACGTGTTACTGAATAAAATGCTTGTGTATTGTGGAAGTAATAAAGGAGTACTTAGCAGGTTCAATTTCTGTTTGTTTGGAAAGAAAATGGAAAAAAGGAATGGATTAATCCTTTATAAAGTTTATCTACACACTTAGAGTCCTGCCAAAAAAACATCACGAAACAGCAAACGTTGCAACTGGAATGGATTAATCCTTTATAAAGTTTATCTACACACTTAGAGTCCTGCCAAAAAAACATCACGAAACAGCAAACGTTGCAACTGGAACATTTCCTTTCCCTAAACTTTGCAAGATCACGAATTGTTACGAAATTATCTGGCTGTCAAATCAGGATCATTAAAGCACTTATCGATAGAGTATACTAGAATATTATGAAGAACTTTGCGACATTCGATACAATGGAGATATCAATGTTAAGGTAGAACAACCTTAAAACCACGTGTAAACCTATATTCTAACTGGTTTTACCGTGATTAAATGGTGTCTTCGAACGACGTAACCGTTCATCTACTAACCCTTACGGGGTATGGTCTAGGAGTAGGCGTTCCCCTACTGTGAATCTGAGGGCTCTTGTGTTGTGTACCGTTGCCGCAAAAACGCCATCCGCACTTTCGAAAGTTACTGACTAGCTGCCTTCCCAGTTTAACATTTTGTATACAACTAAAATCACATGTCACAAATAAACTAAGCCTTTACTCACATAATAAAATATTATTAAAATTAACAATTTCCTGTCGTTTGGAATTTTGGGGAACATTTTTTTTGATATCTTGTTTATTAGCTGTTTCTTCTTTGATTAACTTCTGTTTTCGTTAAAGTCAATTAAAAAACATCAATTGAAATTATACGAGAAAATATCCTTATTAGTCTTGTGAAATTAAAACTTAAATATTAAATACAGTTTCTTGCGCGTATATTAGGTAACTACGAATATCTCTTGCTCTGAATTTATACTGAAAAAATAACTATTATCTGCTCCGTTCAAAAATGACATATCATTAAGGTTTGAAGTATTGGCTGTACAATACATATAAAGCGTCAGTGAGTCGGAAGTCTTAAGTAAATCATATATGAAGAATTGTAGTAACAAGTGGGCAGAACCAGAACGAACCGCTCCATAAATCTGTTAACTGTAAGCTAAAGTATATCAAATAGAAACCGACGTTCTTTACCTATCGGACAAGTAGAACAAGTTTTATTATACGCTCCCCCAGGTGGCGATATAGTGCAACAAGAATTTATCTTTTTTTAAGAAATTGGTAACTGTAACATTCACATGACTACCACTGAGGAAGAGCAACAATTTAGGCTTTCATCATTACATTCCAGTTGGTTTCTTTGCTAACTCATGCCATACTTATAAGTAAAGAAACGTTGTTGTTAGTCAACATTCACATGACTACCACTGAGAAAGAGCAACAATTTAGGCGTTCATCATTACATTCCAGTTGGTTTCTATGCTAACTCATGCCATACATATAAGTAAAGAAACGTTGTTGTTAGTCAACATTCACATGACTACCACTGAGAAAGAGCAACAATTTAGGCGTTCATCATTAAATTCCAATTGGTTTCTATGCTAACTCATGCCATACTTATCAGTAAAGAAACGTTGTTGTTAGTCATGCGGAATTCTAAAATATCACTCTATGTTAACCTAAATTGTAAAAATGAACTTGATGTGTTGGGTGGCACTCGCGTAGTTTAGTAAATAGAACAGGAAAACTGTCAAATTTCGTATCAACTTGTGAACGAAAACTATGTCACCTAATCACTAATGTAAACAATAAACTCCATGTTTTTCCAATGAATATATGTATATAACCCGATTTTTCCACTGCTTTACATCTACCACCAATCATTTTCTTGTTAGCGTAGACAAGTTTACAGGTTAAAGTAAAAAAATCGTTCCTAAAGAAGTTGTAAAATTAAATCAAGTAAAAAAGTTATCTATTTATAGCTGGAGTTTTATTTTAGTGAGTAACATTTTCATCATCAACATTTATTAGAAAACGTAATTTCAAAACTTGACTTGTCCACCCACCCCTACCCCAGTGGCTCAGCTGAGGGCTTATAACGCCAAAAGTCGGGTTTCGATACTTGCGATGTGCACAGTAAAGGTATACCCAATCTGTAGCTTTACGCTTAACAACAAAGAAATAATACTGTTGAGTAGATATCGTGATAGAATTAATCCCAATTAATTAATACGCAACCTAAATCAACAGACGTTTTATTTTTAACTCTCGGTTGTTCATAAAATCAACAACATTACTCGGTTTAAGTAAGTTTAGTATACCATATAGAAGCCCTTACAAAGTTCTAATTTTAAACTAGTCCGGAAACGACAAAACAGTGTAGTACTTGCGGCCATTTGTTTAAGTGTGCACATCTTTTGTCAATTTATGACTCAACATTCCCAAGAAAAGAAAAGCATTTTTCTCAACAAATGCCACAAGTATTCATCTGAAGTTATATAGCATTTCATTCGAAAGTTCGATTGTTTATTTGATTTGAAGTCGAGCCTAATTTAAAAGTCTTACAGATGGTACTTTTAAAAGGTTATTTTTAGGGCCACAATTCATTGACAAATATTTACTACTATAATAACTTAATGGAAAAAACAATATCCATTATAGATAATCATATTTCACTCATGGTATAAAACATGTGACACGAGCGCCCCCTAACGTACAATTTCCTAGAAAACACATTGTCAAGGGGCGCTTGAGATAAAGTTGGTTTGGTAATATGATACTCGCTGAAGACAGCTATAAGATACAAGTTACGCCAAGTACGAAGGAGTGGAAAATAACAGAGTACAGCATACAAACATTCGCTGTATATCTACCTACACCTAGGCTCTAAGCTTTGATGGAGAACGGCTTCTTTTCGTTTTCTTAATTAGGTTGATTTGGAAATGTCAAACTGCTACCTCTGTCTCCTGTTACATTAGAAGATCATCTCGTGTTAACCTATTACAAATTAGGGTTACAAAAAGTGAAACTCTCTGACTACTATCAATTCACTCGGCATTAAACAAAACGAAGGTATGCGCGTAACATTTTAGGGACATAATTAAATTCTGTACTCTATTTTATCAAGTATCAGAAACTTTAAGCTTTAGAAATTATGTATCTTTTAAATGTTCACTTACGTGTGGTGACGTGTTTCATCCGTAGATCAGGATTTCTGCATATACAGTATTGTATTAAGCCGAAAAGAAGCACTTCGTAGTATTTGAAAATATATAATTAATAATCCTTTTTTTTTTAGCACTCTATACGAGTTATCTATTTCATGCTCACTTTGTACGCGCGCCTTCAGTCACGGGAGAAAAGCAAACGGCTGTGTCCGAGCGCTACGAGATCAGGTTTACGTTTCGCGTTAGGGCTAGATACGGAAGGGCATCGTTCCCCTCCAGACGTTTCCTTGCTCCGTGACGGATGGCCTCAGTGTGGGGACAGTCTTGACTGACAATAGCGAGAGCCAATTGGGGATTGACGGGGCGTAGCAAACTCACCTCCGATGAGCAATCACTGTTCTTCAATCAGTCATTGTTAGGTTCGTAACTGATCAACGTCAATGTTCCTCGCCGCTACCGCTCGACGTGTTTTGTTGTTATTGTGTGAGTTGATTGTTGAGAGGTAACTTTATTAAGAGATACGTTTCCTCACAGTTAGTTTAACATATACATAAATTAATTATCGCACTAATAAAATTGCTTGAATTAATATATATATATATATTACTTTCTATTTCTCTGAAAACGTGACAGTTAATCAATCCCTTCCAATCTGGCGGTTAGGTTCGGCTGCTTAATGTCGCATTTCGAGTTGCTTAAGGATTAGTAATAACAAGCGAAGTATTACTTTACTCAAATTAGCCAAGTTCCGAGCGTACGGGGAAACGTATTGCATGGGGTTTCCAAACCAGCACATTGAGTCTACGTAGAGACTCGGTCGTGGACAGAAAACCAGTAAGACAGCAAGCTATCAGAACGGAAGACAATCGGGACTTACTCATTTCTGTAAAGAGGGTAAAGGAGCTGGTGATTAATTAGTGAAGCGGCAATCGATCGAAGAAGAGTCGAATAAACCTTCGCGTTGTCTGTATAGTAACAATACTTAAATTGTATAAAGATGCTTGTATCGTCTTGCTACATTCGAATCACGAGAAAAAAAGCCAGTGTGCATCGTAGTCGAATCGCATGACGTGGAAAACAGACTAAACTAATTAGTTACACTCCTTAATTAAATTACGAGTCTGTTAAAGTTAGTTGTTATACGTCATATGTTTAAGCGAAATGTTAATAAAAACAACATTTCCGGTGACGGCATATGAGCCACGAAACTACAATCTCTCTTTTATTTCACATTTTATGACCCATAAAACTAAAGCGTAAATTCACAAAACTTTAAGCCTTCAAATATTGTCCTTTTAATATGTCCGCATTTGCGGCCTTGCACGTTTTTAGTAAATTATTTACCTTACAAGCTTCATTTTCTAAGATACATTTACACGTGTCTACCTACCATCGTTCTCTATCTGTTATCAAATCAAGAGCTCCCAATGAAACCGTTGGTATGAGTTGTCGGATAATGACACCACAACTTTGGTTTAGTTGCTTACAAGGATAACAAAACACAAGTTTTTACATTCAAAGTCATTAGATATATATTTTTTTATTTTAAACTGAGTGTCAAAAGTGTATGGAACAAAATAATCTAGCGCCCCCAAGTGGCACAGTATTCCATGTACTCATTATGTCAATGTACTTAGACACACACGTACTTGCGTAGAGAAGTGGAAATTAGCGCCTCTACTGGAATAGATAATATTCTCTCAGAGAATAGCTCGTCAGCTTTCCACTCCTGTTCAACAGGTAAATTCAGTGTCTTTGTTCAGTCGATAATTTCACCTTGTGATCATTATTTTCTCATAGCATTGGTCAGCTGTAGCATTCAGACATTGTCAATTCGACCAGCAAAGCATGTTGCAGTTCGTAATCCATTTAATCAGAATGCTATATGTTATAGGAGTATTTTCTTGAGCGGAATAAAAATTATCCACTTTAGAGAACAAAGAGACAAAAAAAGACACTAGACACTAGACATAACTTCTCTCTGTGTTGTAAAAGTCTACTTTAGTTATGTGACATAACTTCTTTCTGTGTTGTAAAAGTCTACTTTAGTTATGTAACATAACTTCTTTCTGTGTTGTAAAAGTCTACTTTAGTTATTTAACATAAATCTACTACAAACTGTACTCCTGAAGCTAAGAAAACAGCATTGTTATATCCACTGTCTACAAATAAATTACTGGTTAATCTAATCTGATAATCAGATTAATCTAATCAGCTGTCGTTTTGTTTGTTTGATGTTAAGCACAAAGCTACAGAACATTCAGACAAGCCAAGAAAACAACTTTCCTATATCCTCTGTTTAACTACTTCTCACTTCTTAACGTAATATCATACAAACTGTTGTTGTTAACTGAAGAATAAGGTTTGTTTGTTTGATGTTAAACACAAAGCTACAGAACATTCAGACAAGCCAAGAAAACAACTTTCCTATATCCTCTGTTTAACTACTTCTCACTTCTTAACGTAATATCATACAAACTGTTGTTGTTGTTAAGTGAAGAATAAGGCTTGTTTTTTGAATTTCGCGCAAAGCTACACGAGGGCTATCTGCGCTAGCCGTCCCTAATTTAGCAGTGTCCACCGCCAACTCTTGGGTTACTCTTTTATCAATGAATAGTGGGATTGACCGTCACATTGTAACGCCCCCATGGCTGAAAATGTGAGCATGTTTGGTTGGATGGGGATTCGAACCCGCGAACCTCAGATTGCAAGACGAGACACCTGGCCGTGCCGGGCCACAGACGAATAAGGATTTCTGTGTTCTTTCATTAACAAACATAAACTAATTCTTAAGCTAATGTGGCACAAATGGTTTTCGTTAAGCTAAGAATAAAACTTTCCTATATCCTATGTTAACAATAATATATCATTTCTTAATACTATCAATCAAACTGTTATCGTTAATCTAAGAAAAGAGATTTCACATATCCTCTGTCTAGCAAACATAAACTGCTTTTACTTGTTAACCTCGTCGGTTAGAAACATTTGTCGTTAAGCTAAGAAAAGACCTTTATTATATTTTCTGTTTAAGAAGTATAAATTACTTTTTAACCTAATCTGATACACAGTGCTCTGATTTAGTTAAGAAAAAGTTTTCCTCTGTCTTCTGCTTAACAAACTTAAATTACTTTTTAGTCCTTAACCTAATGCGATAAAGGCTGTTATCGTTAATCTAGGAAAACAAATTTACTATATCCTCTTTTAACAACCCTAATCTGCTTCTTAACCTAATCTGACACAAACTGTTGTCAATAAGCTTTACTATATTTTGTTTAATTAAAGCTACTTAATCCAATGTGATATAAACTGTTGTCGTTAAGGCTAAGAAAACAGCTTTACTGTATTCTCTGTTTTGATAAACAAAATTACTTAAACTAAGATGATATAAACTGTTGTTGATAAGGCTAAAACAAAAACAGCTTTACTATATATTCTGTCCATTAAACAAAAACTACTTAACCTAATGGGATACAAACTGTTGTCGTTAACCATAAGAAAACAGCTTTAATATATTCTATGTTTTCTAAACAAAAACTGCTTAACCTATGTGATATACACTGTTGTCGTTAAGCCTAAGAAAACAGCTTTACTATATACATTTTTAATACAAAAATTACTTAACCTAATATGATATACACTGTTGTTGATAAGATTAAGAAAATAGCTTTACTTTATTTCTTAATTTAATATTAAAAAAATGTTGTTAAGATAAAAGTGTCTTCCCTATGCCCTCTATCTAACAAATAACAACAACTTTTGAGCCTAATGTCGTTACGGCTAAAAAAAAAACAACCAGCTTTTCCGTATCCTCGGTTAAGAAATATATCTACTTCTCACTTCTTATCCTAATCCGATCCAAACTGATGTCGTTAAGCTAAAACACAGCTTTTCAGTATCTTCTAACAAATATAAACAAAACTACTTAACCTAATGTGACACGTCGTGTCATCACTAAGTTAAGAAGACAACTTTTTTGTACCGTCTGTTTTGCTGTCAAGGTAAGAAGAAATTTTCCTGTACCAACTCTGTGCTTCATGTTAGGTTAAGAGGAACTCTGTGCTTCATGTTAGGTTAAGAGGAACTTTGTGTTTCATGTTAGGTTAAGAGGAACTTTGTGCTTCATGTTAGGTTAAGAGGAACTTTGTGCTTCATGTTAGGTTAAGAGGAACTTCGTGCTTCTAGGCAGCGCATGTTAGGTTAAGAGGAACTTTGTGTTTCATGTTAGGTTAAGAGGATTAGTTTAAAGAGGAACTTTGTGCTTCATGTTAGGATAACAGAAACGTTGTGCTTCATGTTAGGTTAAGAGGAACTTTGTGTTTCATGTTAGGTTAAGAGGAACTTTGTGCTTCATATGAGGTTAAAAGGAACTTTGTGCTTCATGTTAGGTTAAGAGGAACTTTGTGTTTCATGTTAGGTTAAGAGAAACTTTGTGCTTCATGTTAGGATAACAGAAACTTTGTGCTTCATATTAGGTTAAGAGGAACTTTGTGTTTATGAAGCACAAAGTTCCTCTTTAAACTAAGATGAAGCACAAAGTTCCTCTTAACCTAACATGAAAACAAACTATGCCGAACAGCTTCCCTATTTATAAAACAAACTACTATCTAATCGAATATAAAAACAAACAATGCTTTCCATTTTAGCACAGAAGAAAACACTTTCTATTTATTTATTGTACGAAAACTATTTCTCTGCTTAAATTTGAAAAACAAACTTTCCTTCCAATTTTTTCGTTTTTTACCAGTACTTCGCCCCGTGTTGATGGATCTTCACCAAATTTCGTAAGGAGGTTCATTGGGTCCAGGGGAGATACATATAAATTTGCGGTTTCATATGTTGTGATTTGCAGTTTTTATGGGCGTTTTTTACAATTACATAAATGGGAAGCAACTTTTCCTGTCCGAAGATAACCTTTCATTAATCATGGATTAAATAACTTCCAGTAGACGGGTACTCCAACTAGTATTAAATATTATTGTTTTTTCATGTTCTTAATTTCTTTAAATTTGTATTTAAGATAAAGCTACTAAGGCTATTTCCCACCATCCTCAAATTTGAGCGCCAGTCAACAGCATCCTATCACCCACCATTCACGCTAAAGGATTAACTTTCGCCCTTATAACGGTTCCACAGCTTAAAGTGAAGAAAATATTTTTGTGATGTCGGTTCGGATTCGAACATGGTTCGCCAAGTTTGAGATACGGAGCCTTACCAGAGGGCCAATTCGCGCCGCAAAAACTGGTTTTCTTCATACCATAATATAGATACATTTCATAATTATCTGTATCAGATCAAAGGCGTACAGGCCATTATTCAGCTCTGGCGAAATAATTGTGTAAAAACGCGCAACAAATACATGACAGTATCAACTAAACTGTAACAAGTTAATGTAAAAATTATACCATTTGTACAAAAGTATAAACCCTTGGAGGATGCTGGTTGGGTGATAATATTTGATAGAAGTCGAGGGTGGTTTATATTATTAGATCTCTATATTTATGGGTAACTATCACGCCCACAACCGGTTATAGACAATGAGTGGTTAGTGAGTATCTGAGACATTGTGGGTTCTAGCACCCAGATCCTAACCCCTTATTGAATCTGTATCTTACTTTCTAGTTTCTTTGTTTTAGAACAAAGCCAAATTGGGCTATTTGCTGTGCCCACTACGGGGAATTGAACCCCGGATTTGGTGTTATAAGTCCATAAATTTACTGCTGTCCCACAGGGGCCCATCCTAGTTTTAAATCTGTTGTTTAGTTTATGTCTGATAAACGGAATGTTTTTTGGATGCTATGGCCGCAGAC